AGCATACAACATCTACAGTGCAGCATGCTGAGAGATCTAGCATACAACATCTACAGTGCAGCATGCTGAGAGATCTAGCATACAACATCTACAGTGTAGCATGCTGAGAGATCAAGCATACAACATCTACAGTGTAGCGTGCTGAGAAACTAATGTACAAATGTGGGATGCATCTCATCTAATGATATATATATGACAAATACAAAAAACTGATGGCACCTTGACTGCTGAAAGGTACAGTCAAATTATTATTCATCATGCTATTTTACACGAAGAAGACTTGTTGACCAGGGATTCATCTTTCAACAACAAAAAAATGATCCTAACCAGGCAGGAAATGTGGTAAAACAATATATAGTAGTTAAAAAAAAAATGGCAGATAGAATGCTCGTGTCCTTGGCTTGCATAAAGTTCAAGTATGAATATTAAAGCTATATGGGCTTATACAGAAATTGAGAAGGTCTAATGGTAGCCAAACAACTTACATGGATTGTTGGGATACAAGAAATTTGGAACATTTAACTTATAGTAGAATAAAGTCAAAATTTACTGCCCTGTTTAAAAGCAAGTACAAAATTCTAGTGTATTGTACAACTTGCTCTCTTTTTGAGTTTTCTATTGTGATGTATCATGACCTTCTAATGTAAGTCACAAAACCATCTAATCAACAAGTTGTTAAAAACTGGAAATGATTTTAATTCAACAATATAAAATATTTTACATTAAAACAAAGGGTTTTAATGCCAACCTCAATTTCAAGAAAACAAAACAAGTATGACTTATTTCTAGTGGGGAGAGAAAATGATGTCAAGAAGTATAAAGCACAGCCAATGTCATAAATAACTGTCACTCCTCTTGATAATCTTAACAGTCCAGTTCATAAAAAGAACAGGTTTAGGTAACAACTGCCACTTAGTAACAGGGTAATTACAAGGCTTTGGGTTTTTTTTAACGAGATCGGTAAAAAAGGACTTCTTTCGTCTTTCTTTCTTTTCTTCCTCAACGTTTTTCTTGTCCTCTGCCGCATTTTTCAGGCTGTCTGATTTTCGCAACCTCTCGAGAGAACCTTGGTTAACTGCATCAGTGCTGTGGTGCAGGGGCAGACTTCTGGATAGGGTACTATGCTCATGATCATCTAGTCTGCTATCAGAAGCAGTGTGTCTTGTCAGGGTATGGGAAGCCTCAGGAAAACCTAGAAGATGACTGTCCAGACTCATGCTTTTCATCACTGGCCCCGGCTGAATATCCTGTAAACTGACAAGTTAAACCTTACAAGAAGTTAGCATCTGACAAGTATCTAATTGTCAACATTTGTCATTTAATTTATTTCAAACGTTAAGACTGTGAAAATCCTCTACGTAATCTATGAAAAAAACTGCTTCGGGCTAAAGTATGGTGTTGAGACACATAACTTTGAAATATTTGAAATTAATAAGGCAAAAGGTTAACGTCAAAAGACATCCTACAGACTCAATTACTCTTTTCAGTGTGTACATCTGTTGTATCTACTTCTCAGAAGCTAAATGTAAAACTAAAGGTATGATTGCTTGTTGTTAAACACAAAGCTACATAATGGGCTATCTGTGCTCTGTCCACATGGATATCAAATCCAGTTTTAGCATTGTAAGCTTGAGACTTACCACTGAGCCACTGGGGGCAAAAAGGAAAGGAAACTCAAGTGGGCAATATTTTATAACTGAAGAAATTAAAACAAACTTTTTTTTAAAAAAAAGAAGAAAAAGATTAGAAAAATACACTTAACTGATGTGAAATGTATGACCAAAATATATTGTAATTTTCTGTACTTCAAGTTCTTGTAGTTAATTATCAGTATGTTATTTTGAATACTGTTGTTTTATTTCAACTTTTGTTTGACTGGTTATTATTATACCTTGTTCATTGGCCATTTACGTTCCTTCATATCTCGCATAAAGAAAATGTCTGGGTCTTTTGAGAGGTGCTCAGGTAAGAACAGATTTTAAATGTTTATAACATCAAATTAATGTTATGTCTACCTTTACAAGTATATTTCCCATATTTAAAGATGTAATTACTTTCGTCACAAACTCAAGTATGAACAGAGCAACACCCCAAATTATAACATTTCTCACAGCTTCACAAATATCAAAAGAACATGTTCTAAAAATACTGAACAAGATACTGTTTAAAATGATTATTTGATATCAAAATTAGGTTGGAAAACCATTTAAGACAGTATTGCATACCTTATTACTATCATTCAATTCACTAAAATATTCAGAATTATACTGTTTTCATTTCATGGAAAAAAAAAAAAACTTCTAAGAAAAATATTCAGATCACTTTACATGTTTTCTATAGTTACCTTTTTCCTAAATTTGAATATGGGTTTTCACTCTCAGCAAAGCCAATAGAGGGAGCTAGTGATAAAGTTATACTGCCATTCAGTGATTTCACATCTTCATGGTACATTTCCTCATCATCTTCTTGCTCTGAGGGAAAGTCTATCTGGTCGATTGCAGTAACGGAGCCTAAAACGCCAACTTTCACTAGAGGTGGATATCTACGTTCCGAGGCTACTGCACCAATGGCCAGTAACGTAGGTTGACTTACTGAACTGTCTTTCCGAGTGTCAAAACCAATGTAAGGCCATGTGAAAGCATGGAAAGGACCTGCAGGGACATTTCCTAAAGAAGGGATTAGAGTTTATTACTTCAACTTATGATACCCCTTTCTTGTGGAATGTGGTAAAGTAGAGAAACAGACAAACCTTACAGTTTTACTGTGTTTAAGGCTACGAAGGACACTAGCTTCTTTTCACCTATTTTCAGTAAGGCACCTACCTGGCAATGGTACATTTTCTTCCAAAAATTATAGACATTTTTCATACCTTCAATCAAGGTTTCTAAACGTTTGCCCTACTTTTTCACAGTGTCCGACAGATTGACCAACAGCTTCACCAACAGTCAACAGACAGTTAATTTTTTTGCCCCCTTTATTTTTAAAGCATTCCCAATTTTTGTTATTTTCCTTTTTTCCATGACCTCATACTCATCCCGATTCACCAAAATCTCAAAATTATGCTAGTAACTTTTTGAAACTTATTTGAAGTAATATTAACCAAAGTTCTTTCTCTATGTAATTCACATCAGCAGTTATGTATGTTTCTTGTTGATATTTACAGAAACATATATATATTACACACGTTTCTTGTTGATCTTTACAGAAACATACATCTTACACACGTTTCTTGTTGATCTTTACAGAAACATATATATTACACACATTTCTTGTAGATCTTTACAGAAACATATATATTACACACGTTTCTTGTTGATCTTTACAGAAACATATATATTACACACATTTCTTGTAGATCTTTACAAAAACATATATATTACACACATTTCTTGCAGATCTTTACAGAAACATATATATATATATATTACACACGTTTCTTGTGGATCTCTACAGAAACATGTACATTACACTATTTTCCTCAGATTGACATTACACTATTTTCCTCAGCTGGACATTACACTATTTTCCTCAGCTTGACATTACACTATTTTCCTCAGCTTGACATTACACTATTTTCCTCAGCTTACTATGACATATAGACGTATATATTTGGTGGTTCATTGCTGGAGCAAACTTAGAGCATTACTTTTGTAAGGAAATATGTTCTTACCTCTTAGTCTTTGTTTGATTCATTGATAAAAATACGACAATTCACAGGATTTTTAATTTGTTACTGCATGCTGGTTATAAAGCAGAAGGTAAAGTATTCATCCTAAGTTTTAAAATGTTTCACACTCACTGCTGTGAACTTCAATAAACAACCCTTCATATTATTAGACGTCTTTCACAAATTTTACTTACAAAACAGAAAAGGTCATTATAAAAATTAAAAGTTCCCTGTCGTGTAAAACTACAACTTATATATTATCAGATACACAGGAAAGTAGCATTAATTGTTTGACATTTTTAAACATCTTGACTACGTTCTGCAGGTCTTGTTAATCTCAACCAATCAAATAACAATCTATCCATTTGCTAGTTTTTCAAGATTTAGAGTTCCCACATTGTAGTTCTTGCACCTGATGATAATAGGTTGCCTTGGTGAAACATTATTACTAAATATATTATACTCTGTGTATTCAGTAAGTAAGTAAGTAAGTCTTTAGAAAAGGCCTTTGTTTCTAATGAAGAATATGTTGAATCTTGTTTTACCACCACTCTTAGAAAAATATATTGTATTTTAAAACATTTAATTACGTTATTAAATTATATTGATTAAATTGCTCACCTTTTCTAAGTATCCCAATTTGTCACGTTGAGAGTTGAAACACAGGCTGCTGTGTTGAAAGTTATGAAACCCATGCTAATTTCATTCAGACAGAAAACCAAGAACAGAACAGTAACTAGAGGAAGTTAGGAGAAGAAACATCAATAGGAAGTAAATCAACACTTTTCAGGTCAGTTTTAATGGTACAGCATAAGAGCCTGTTAAAGATAAACATGGATAAAACTTGTCATGGCAATATGCACAGAAGTTAACATTGATCACAGCTGCATAAACACAGACGTTAACATTGATCACAGCTGCATAACCACAGAAGTTAACATAAGGTTACAGCTGCATAAACACAGAAGTTAACATTGATCACAGCTGCATAAACACAGACGTTGACATAAGGTTACAGCTGCACATGCACAGACGTTGACATAAGGTTACAGCTGCACATGCGCAGACGTTGACATAAGGTTACAGCTGCACATGCGCAGACGTTGACATAAGGTTACAGCTGCACATGCGCAAACGTTGACATAAGGTTACAGCTGCACATGCACAGATGTTAACATAAGGTTACAGCTGCATATGCACAGACATTGACATAAGGTTACAGCTGCATATGCACAGAAGTTCACAAGGTTAGAGCTGTATATGCACAGAAGTTAACATAGGTTATAGTTGCATAAACACATGTTGACATAAGGTTACAGTTGCATAAGCACAATGTTGACATAAGATTATAGATGAATAAGCACATACACTGATACAAAGTTACAGTTGCATAAGTACAGATGTTGACATAAAATTAAAGATGAAATAAGCACACACATTGATACAAAGTTACAGTTGCATAAGTACAGATGTTGCCATAAGATTATAGATGAATAAGCACATACATTGATACAAAATTACAGTTGCATAAGTACAGATGTTGACATAAGATTAAAGATGAAATAAGCACAAAGACAAAGATGAACAACATAAAATAGACAGAAAGTTACATTTAAGTTAGTACAAAATCTGACTTTAAGTTGCAGTTAAAGAAATGCAAGTTAAGATTATACTGTAACCGAATAAGTACACAAGTTGACAGGAAATGAAGTTATTGTAAGTACACAGTGTCAGAGCCGAGATAAAAATATTCAGAGAAAGTTAAATGAAATGCCATGCTACATTTGAAGATACTGGAATGGACTGTTGTTCGAAAACAATGAAGTGTTTGAAAATCAACCTAACCTGCTTCAGATCCAACGTTACCATACACAGACGTAGTAGCATCTTCTAACAAAGTCGCTTCACTTCCACTACGGTGAATACTTTCTTCTGATAACAAACGATAGCCAAGAATTACAAAACTTGAATCAATGTTTAAATGCTCTTACTACTAGTTTAAAAAACATAATTATTGAACTATAAAATCTCAAACAGTTAGATCCAGTCCAAGTACAATCCTAAGCCTAACAACAATATAAGATTAATTTGTAAACTTAATACTCAACCTCTACCTGTAAAACAGGACCGAACAGAGTTAACGTGACTCGTGCTTCCTAACAACAGCATTTCCAGATGCCTTAGTCCTGGATTACATACAATCTGAAAGTTACACAGCAGTTCTATCTGCTTCCAACGGTTTAAACGTTCTTGAAGGTCTTGGGTTACTTCGGAGAGAGCAGCTCTGAGGTAAGAAAGAAATTTGTAATCAAAGATATAACCCAAGTTACTCTCTTGAACACCAGTTAAACAACTATTTTAACCTCACAAAACTAAACAGTAAGATATTAGACAGAAGGAAAACTGAATTATGTTGACCATCAGAATGAATTTGGCAAGCATATTACAAATGCTGAAGTGTAAGTACATATAGCTTCCGACTTTTAACTAATGCACTAATATTGTAAAAGAAATTTTTTTTGGGGGGGGGGCATGTAAACTTGAAACTGTCAGTATTTAGTGAAACTCCTTAATTACAGAATTGAGGAAAAACAAGACAACCGTACATTTCACATACAGGGTTGTAATAAATGGTGTGTTAAACATATAATTATGTTGTTTTTATTTAATTCTGTAATTGATGGTATACGTAGGCCTTGTTTAAACAATACATACAATTCCTTGATAACACGCTAATAAAATATATCATTATGTTATAAAAATGATGATTTCATTAAAGATAAAGAATCATTATTTCTTATAATAGAACTTTAAAAGCTGTGTGGCAAAGTCTTTATGGTTGGTTACTTATTCTCAGTTACTTGTTATATCTTGTAGATCAATACATTAATGCTTTTATAATTTTTGTTCTTAATTTCTCTTATACGATAAGAAAAAACAGAACCCATCAGCTGAATTCTCAAGTGTTTTTGTTCGGTTTGTTTTCACGGCCAATGTCGACAATCCATGTTTACGACAGTCCACGAGCTAGCTAACTTCGACACAAACATACTTCAGCAATACTGCAAGTTTTGAGGTGAATAACTCGTAGAAATATTACACCAATTTTATTACATTCATCATAAAGGTGGCAAATGAACCGAGAACACTCATCCAAAATAGAAAAGTTTAAAAACTCATAGAAAACTATCATTATTCCTTGCACAGAACTTTGTATTTAGTGAAAACCTTCAAAATGATGAAGATCAGAAAAATAATAACATCTTGTGATATCGTTGTGAAGAAAGCTAAAACAGATAGTTCCAACTTAAATTTAACTCAAATATTAATGACACCATAATATATATTAGTTGAAACTTATTGATTCCCCTAGTAGAACTGCACCAAAATATTAGTTTAAACTTAGTGATTCCCCAAGTAGAACTGCACTAAAACATTAGTTGAAACTTAGTGATTCCCCAAGTAGAACTGCACCAAAATATTAGTTGAAACTTAGTGATTCCCCAAGTAGAACTGCACCAAAATATTAGTTTAAACTTATTGATTCCCCTAGTAGAACTACACCAAAACATTAGTTGAAACTTAGTGATTCCCCAAGTAGAACTGCACCAAAACATTAGTTTAAACTTACTTTGCTTGAAGGATCTTGTCGTCTACATCATCTAGAACACTTCCGTGAGCTATTCTAAATGTACCCATGAAACTTGACCGCTTCTTTCTCAACTTTTCACACTATGAAAATAAAATAAGAGGGAATCCTCAATAGCCACAGCATTTGAAATTCTTTTAGGCAGGATTAGAGTAAATTAATCCACAAGACCTCGGGCACGGTCAAATACATCAATTGAAAGGGTTTGACCTCCTGAATCCAAAACTGTAATTAGATCTCAAAATTGATAAAGAGATGATGGGGCTACAAGATAAAGTTTGTACTTGAAAGAAAAAACTCGGAGCCATTCTATGCCTCGGCTGATAATAAAGCAAAAATAACATCTGATGCTCTTCAAACACTGCTACAAATATGTTAATCAAATGATACATTATATAAAGACATTAAAAATGTTTTGTATATTTATAGTTAAATTGACATTATAAAGTTGTAGTTAGATTTTATTAACTCTTTCAGCACAGGATTGGTCCCTGGGACCAACTTCATAACCATTTCGTGCTTATTATAGTTTCCATGCTATAACTTTTCAATTTTAATGAATTTTAATGAAATTTGGCAGATTATGAGTAAATATTACAATGCTTTCATACACAAAATATCAGATTTTTGTATTAAGTCTTAAGGTTTGTAAAGCAATGTTTTTCTCATGTCTTTTTTTTTCTTTTCACATCTTGCCTATCTATCATGCAAAGTAATTTTCATTTTAACATTAAAAATACTTTTATTCATCAGAAAATGTTCAAATTTCACATGCAAAATCTTTATAATGTCCAAATAGTTATCAAGCATTTCTTAAGGAATAACTTTATATTTTATCTGTTATTTTCAATAATTAATCTCTGTAATGAGTTCGGTAAATTTGATTGATCTCGCAACCACCATAAAAAATTAGGAAATAAACATAAATTATGCCTATTTCATTCTAGAATGAACACAAATTATAACATGAAAACATAAGTGTTCAGACTAAATAGCTTAAATCTCATAACATTATACACTTATGTATATTTATTATTTTTATTATATTGACCTTTCAGCCATGCCTGGCTAATAATACAGAAGTTACAGTGACTCGGCTCAAGTGCACTCATGTTACTGTATCAAATAACATAAAGGTGACCTTTGGTCTGTACAAAGTAACTTGTCTTGGCTGTGTTTTAGTATACTAATATTTTGTAAAATACAGTCACATTTCAATTATTAAACATTATATATGTATATAGATTATTGCTATTTTGAAATAAATTCTTAAACATATTTTTCCTAAAACATAGAATGGTAAATAAAGAAGTAAAGCAAACAATTATCTCTTCTAGTTACGACCTTTGTACTCGGTTGCTGCTTGACATAGGTTGCTAAGCCTTTAAAAAATTAGCAAGTGGAAAATATGAAAGAAAATATTTTTTCTAGGTTTTATATATATACATTTGAATAACTAAAAAATCATAAATTACTACATCAATACCATAGAATTTCACTATAGTTTATCGAGCTTAGTAACTAAGATATATATTTTAGTCTAAAAAAATACGGAATTTCAAGCAGACTACAGACACACCCTACCTCTTTGAAATATTGGTTCGAAAGAAAAAAATGGTGCCAAGCTTGTTAAAATGGCTGAGAAAGCCACTATGGGGGGCATTCGGAGCTTCTGACTGATTATTCATGTCATATATAGAAGTAAATGTATATAGGGGAGCATTACCAAAAATAGAAGGAAGTGGGTGGTGTGCCACTGTGTATGATTTATTACATGAGCAATATCTTAGCAAATAGAAAAGATAGGAGGTTCTTATTTTATATTCTAGCTTGTCAATATCGTTAGTTTGAGTTCCTAATCTGTAAGAAACTATAGACTTTGTATTTTGACATCACAAACATCTAATTTGGACCAGTGCTCCATTCAACGTACCATGTGACACAAAAAAATCAATGTTTATCTGTGTTTTTAATATTTAATTTTAAATTAAGAAATTGAGTAATGTATAGTTCTGAAATTTCAATTATAATCTACAGTTTGATACCAAACCTATTGACATAAAT